GGTTAGGCTGATTCCTAGGGCATGTAATTGGGAGGCTGACAAGTTAGCCAAGGAGGGGATAGGCTGATTTTTTAGTGTTATAGTGGTTATGTTTATTTCGGATGGTATTATGTAAACTTCTATTGTAAGTTTGGTTTATTAATATATTGGGGTACTCTTTTCCTCCTTTGCTAGTTGCCTCTACACAAGAGCCAACTATGAGGGAGGTTTTTAATGAGGCCCCCTATTCTTATAAAAAAAAAGTATGACATGAAATACAAGAAATTATCCATTATACCAATTTCAAAGAAAAAGCAGTTGACATTCTATGCAATGCGACTGTTGCAGAGCAGATAAATGTGAAGACAACTAAGATTAAAAAGAGCAAGAAAATAGATACGAGTGTATGGCAGCTAGACAATATCATATTCACACGGGTATTATCAGAATATCAGTTTTTTTAAATGTTATAGCCTAAAAGATTAGAAAAGAAAAATTTTCTTAGTACCTGTACGGAGAGGCAAGGGAAAAGACAAATATCATCAAATATGGAGTTTCCGTGCGAAAAAGAAATAAAATAATGGCAACTTGTAATACAGAAAGATAAAGAAACTTGCAAAGGCATGAAATTTTTTTCCAGACTCCAGATTTTAGAAGCAATGTAAGCATTTGAGACATACCATACATTCAGAAGGCCACTAGAATAAAGAAGTGAGTGCACATCACCGTGGCCATGAGGTTTTGTCTAACAAGAGAAAACCAGAAAAGATTTAAAGGGAAGAACCTTTCAGTTTTATATTTCTTTTGTATACAGCGTTTATGATGATTACCTGAATTTTGTACTTGTCATGAGCGTCTAAAGCAAGCCTAGCATCGTTATCATCTAAGCACGCAACTTTCTCCTAAAGATATGACACTTAAGTGAAAGAACTCAACAAAAGCTCTCACAAAAAACACATAATAAGTGATCACATACCTGCTTAAGAAGTTTAACTTGAGTAGGTTTCATCCCAAAATAAAAGTTTGATTCTAAAAGATTTAAGGTACGATCATGTGTGTCATCCGATGTCATTATAACAAAAGGAACCTCCTTTTGACACGTGGCTAAAGTTGAGAAAGAGATAGAAAGAAAACAAACTTCAGAGATAATAAAGAGAGTTAATAAGTTATAAAATACAATAAACAGTGAAATATTCTTTTAGAAGGTTGGAAGTGAATATGTTTTTTCTTTTTTACTTGGTAAGCTAAACATGTTAACATGAATACTTCTTGGGAAAATGTGAGTAAAACTATGAACTAGTATTATTTTCTAGACCAGAGAGATTGTTTACAAAGTATTTAGTAAGCTCAAGTGACTTAGACAATTGCATCTAGTAAGCTAGATTTTTAAACAGACTTCTGCTGTGCCTTTCTCATCCCTAGTAACTATTGTAAGTGAGAGGTTGATCATATAGAACCTCGTTACAGCGTAACTTGGAGCTCTTTTCAACTTGTTCTTTCTATTCAACATTCCTCGCGTAAAAGGTAACATATGTACAGCAAAAGTAAGTTGTCAATTCTTGACTTCTTTAAAAGTGACTTTTCCAGTAATTGCTCTAGTTTAAACCTAAGCTCATCGAAATGGATTTCTTTCTGTGGTTTGGACACTAAGGAGGTAAGCAAATGCTCATACAATTCAACAAGTAAAATTGAGTACGCTGAACTGCTACAGTAGTCTCCCTTTGGTTGCTGCCATATATGATACTGAACAATAACACTTGATCTTTCTTGATTAAGTGGAGGAGCAAATTTTATAAAATGACTAATAAAAATTTGGAACTGTAACGCCTTCTAAAACAATGAGATGCCGAACAAACCTTGTGAAAGCCTGCTGCTAGCTTCCTGAAGAGCCAGAATGGACTCAATGTAGAGTTGTAAGAAACATGTTCCAGTTGTGGTCTCTGCTGGAAGTGTTACCTACAATGTGTACAATGTTGCTAGTCAAACATTTTGTTTTAGTTTGGGGTGTTTAAACTGGTCAAAGTAGTAAAACATAAAATACAATATCAACCCCTTTTAAAAAAGGGAAAAAGCACCAATCCAATATCTCTCTAATGAAAAAAAGCATGAGTCATGGCCTCATGGGAACCAACACTTAACACAAAAGTATCTATCTCACCTATTTTAACTATTCAGACTTGCCTAGTTGTCATGAAACCAAATAATTGAAATTAACAAGATTAAAAAAATATATTGTTAGTCTATAGGTTATCTACCTTAATTCCATTGTATCCAAGACGTTCACCAAGCCCACCTGCAACAAGAACAAATGCTGCATTTTGGGCTTCTTTGACACCTGCCTCCTCAAACTTGATGAAATTGTCATCACCAAAAGAAAGAACTTCTCCTGTTGGGACCTGCAAAAGCAATTCATCGTGTTTAAGACAAAGTTGCACAGAGAACTGGAGAGGACATGCCTCAGGGTACAGAAAACTTTAATACTAAAATCAATTTACATTAATATAATCATGTAACTCAGTACAACCATAGAAACGTAAATAATAAATTGAAGTTACAAAGTGAAAGACTAATTTCCTTACCGAAGGTGTGAAGCCGTCATATGGGTTCTTCCCTTCTTTTGAGTCAACTAAGAGCTCCCTAGCATTTTTTACATAGGATGCCAGACCCCCAGGATAGCTTGAATTTAGCTTAGCAACCTACAAAAGGGTTCAAGACTAAGCTCAAGATTATAATATTAAAAATGGCTTAAATACAATTCATCCATATCGAACAGCAGAGGAAATGATTTCCCCCCCTTAAAAAACACCCATTTCGTTCCTTTAATTTTTCTTTTCATCCATAATTTAATTGCAATTACCAAAAATAAAAGAAATTCCATTTTCAGTAATTAAAATATTTTTTGTAAACGAAAAAGAAATTAAACCATAATAGGATACTGTAAGATTCCATGGTTCTTCAAAAAATAATATAATAGAGACCTGAGCGAAAAAGGCTTTCTTTTGTTCGTCCTCAACACCAGGATCCGGCCAATGCTGAAACAAATGGCTCTGTCCCAAATCCACCAACATCTTCGCCAACTTTATCTGCCAAAACAACCAAACAGAGTATACATATACGCGTATATGAGTATCACTTTTACGAAATGGCGAATTTAGGACATGCAAAACCTGATCCAGACGAAGGAGACGGAAGTTCTTGACAAGATTAGGAGGCCAATCTCCGGCGTTGATGTTGAGATCGGACAGAACCTTCGCCACTGAATCGGCCGCCGCCGAAGCCATTATCGCCGGAAATGTAATTTTCGAATGTAGTAAGAAGAAAAAAGGATGTTGCGAATAAAAAGTCCAAAAAGGGAATCGAGCTTATAACGTGAATTATTATAGCGTGAAGGAGAGAGAGAGAGAGAGAGAGAGAGCAGATGAAATCAGATCAGTGACAGAATGGCATAGCATCCGCATCTATAATAGAATGTACAATTATACCACTTTTAAATCTCTTCAAACCAAAACCCGAGAATGTCTTCAGTTAACACTCTCTACCAACATATTAAACTGATATGTTTCACTTTGACTGCCCGGCTACTTAGTTTTATTCCCTGCGTTATGTATTCAAAAAAAAAACCGTTTCACTAATATTTTTAACCCTTAATCACAGTTTTTTTATTTAAAAAACTAAATAGGTAAATGTCACTATCCAAAAATTTTGACATGACAATATCTGGACATGTAAATAATTATTTCGTTTGAATTGATCTCAATAAAGATTTGATAATTATCTTATGTTTACACAATTTAGTCTTTGAATAATATAAAATAATCTTATTTCAATTGTTCTTCAAATATAAATATATATTTTATTTTATTTTAATTAACGTGTTTAAATAAATAAAAAGAAGAATACGAAAATAATGAGAAATTTATGTTATTTATCAATGTGAAATATATGCAATACTTTCATCGAATTTTATACTTATAATTATAAGAAGTAGATATCATATTTAATAGATATTAAAATCTAAAATCCATGATCAACCTCCGCAAATAACATATATTTATAATAATAAAAAAACAAATTTAAAAATTCTTTTCAAATAGAAAATATAGACCAACGGCTCAATGCTTTTGCTAAATGCTCTGTACAATATTCAGTCAAATGGTGTGTTGTTCCAACTTGATCTCTTAGGCTTCACCTTACTTCAGCTTGCTGTTGATCTCTACATACTTGTTTGCAAATTTGAATTCAGAAATTGTTTTTGTTAAATTCATTCCAGGCATGTATGTGAAGTTTGATTATATATATATTGGGAAACAAATTGGAGAAACGGACTAGGTGAGATTTTGATTGAGTCAAGTAAAAAAATTTCGAGTTATTCAAGTTGACGAATCATATTTTATAACTCGGAGTTGACTTGAAATTCTTTCGAGTCGAGTCGAGTCAAGTCAACTTTTCTAGTTCCCATTTAAATTTAATTATAAATATTTACAATATTATGACATTATTTGATTCCAATTTAAATGATATTTTATAACCATATATAATACATATATTTTTTATTTTTTTATATATAATTCACATATACCATACAAAGTCGATAAACTCGACTTAAACTTCGACTCAAACTTGAAAATCAATCTAATAATTACTAAAAATTTCGAGTTATTAAAGTTGTATTTTACCAGGGATTTAAATAACAGTTCGCGACCGCAATAGCACCCGTGATATAGTGGTATCGGTACCCTCCGAAAACGCTATTATTTGACAGTGACACACCCAATCACCGCAACAGCGCCTACTATTCTCGCTATATAGCGGTAGCAATACCCTCAGAAAACACGACCGCAACCTCGATTTTAATCCCTGTATTTTATAACTCAATTTGAACTTGAATTTTTTTTCGAGTCGAATTTATAAAATTACAATTCAAACTCAATTCGAGTCGAAAAATTAATTTTTCGATTCGAGTTTTACACCCGTACTTATAGCAATCTCCTGACAGCAAATAAATTTTATCAACACCAATACGCCATTTTATTTCTAAAATTCCTGTTCTGTTACAAGGTACACGAAACAATGTATAAGTTGTAAAAATGGAAATCTTAAAACAAAATAGGAAGAAAGTCTATAGATGGGTGCGCTACCTAATTTCTTAAGGGGCAGAAAATGCTAAAAATACACAGAAATTTCTCTCTATATATATATACAACATATCCAGTTCCTCCATTATATTCAACTCTTTGTGGATTCACTAGCCACAACTGATTCCGTCATCTTATGATCCTTCATTATACGAATGGGTTTGATCAACTCGTCGAGATCTTCCGATTGTGAATCTGACGAATCACCGTCACCAAAGGTTGTTTGATCACAAATCACTTGATGAAGTTCCCCGGCTTCTCCCTCGCTAACATCAAGGTCAATGTAATCTGAGAATTTCTCATCAAAGCAAACGTTGACATCCTCTCGTACCTGTTGCGGTCTTTCCGAAACCATTCTTTTCTGTTCGGAAATGTCAACACCAAAGTAACGTCCACGAGCAAACTTATTTTCCATTGACCTTTTGTTTTTCTTTGCCTTGCTTCGGTTTTTGGGGTGGTGAAGCTTGCATTTAGATCCCAGAGGGCAGGACCCCGTTGCTTCAAAATTTGGGCATACATAGCTGTGCTTCTTCCGACACTGAGAGCAGAGATACATTCCATTTCACTTATTCAATGTTCAGGGTTGTGTGCGCAGTAGAGAAGAGGGATAGCTAATAGAATATCTAAAATAATGGATGATTATCGGTTCCTCCAAGAAGAGGGACCGGGAGACGGAGACGGAGAGGAAATATACATGTTTTTTGGCCAAATATAGTTGTGTAAAAAAATGCTGAACAATCTAGACTTGTTTAATGTAAAATCATCATTATAACTACCTATTCAAGTAATTTTCAAGGAATTTCAAGTAAACACATAAATGAATATACATACACACAAACAGCACATACAATAAAAACAGTATACCATGACGCTGTTCATGTCGTGTCATTTCACTGGAAAACATTCATGTGAATAGTTCTTTAAAAACGAAAATATCTACCGCAACACTGGACAAAATCAGGTTACAAAGGTTTGCACACATAGAGAGGGCATATCAGAGAATATTAGTCGAAAAATTCTGTTTTTTTGTTTTCAAAAGTTGAGAACAAAATTTTATTAATTTCATAAAGTCAAATTGCAGAATTCTAACATTAATTTAAGACCAGTGTGAGCCAACCAAACAAATGAAGATATCTCCATAAAATGACATTAAACAGGTATGGCATAAATTGCAAAATAATTACTGAAATAGTATTTCCAAAATGGTAAGAAACTACCTCGTTACCATCAGCACAATAGCCCCTAAGAAATCCTTCGCAGGTAGATGCATTTGGATTCACATGAACATGTCTATAAGGACAATTTTCATTAGTGCATAAACCTGCAAGTAATTTTTGTCAGAATCTGCGAGCCTAAGATTAGAAAAACAGAAGCACAATCTCGAAAAGTAATACCTTGCAGAAAATATGAACAATCCGGCATTCGTTCTGGAATAACCTGTAAAATATCCAATCAAGAGTCAGATGTTAAGTCAACATCTAGCAGAGGTCAAATCAGCCAGATAGGTGACAAACCTTATGAGTCAATTTGCAGCTTGGGTTAGAACATAGACCATTGAGAAATTTTGTGCATACAGAAATTTTGGAGGGATCGTGAATATAGGGACACTTTCCATCATCTTTGTTGCATTTTCCAAATCTTGTGAAAAATTGACAGTACTTCCGCTTTTTAACCAATCGTAACCTGGCAGTGTGCAAACTCCACCGAACTTTCTCACTTGCCAAAACACGTGTGCGCTTTTTTGGATCTCTAACAAGCTGGTTGCCATTACCAATTCGAACATACCTGCAGATGTCAGAGTTCATTTTAGATTTATATTGTAGCAATTCCGTCAAGTAAGAATTTTATATGGTAATTTTTTTTGACAAGATTATATGGTAATATTAACATACTCATCATTCCCAATCACTAATCTCCTCGGGACATAAGATTTTTTGGCACTGTTTTCCGAATGCCGACTACCACAGCACAATGATGCATCATCTAGACAGAAAGTAAGTAGAGTTAGAAGCAGCATGAAAATTTATCAAAAGGGAAAAGGAGCATCCAATTCAGTGCAGACAGTAGGTACTGATCAGAACTAGAAAATTATGAGACGACCTTGTTTGTTTCTATAAAAAAAATCTAAAAAACGCCAAAAAGAAAAATAAATTGCAAGTCCCATGTGATGAAGCAAGCACCAACAGATCTGCCAGTCAAACAAGGCAATTCAATGCCCAAAACCGATCCATAAGAATATTTCCAATGTGCACTTACAGATAAAAAAAGTAAACCTTTTAAGTGACAGCTGCCATTATGAGTTCAATCCCTAATAGGGTTTACCTCCACATACATAGTTTGAGCCTAAAATTCACCATGAGAGAAATTGAGAGTAACCTGATATCCTCTGAAGGGAACGCCTCGAAGAATCCATTTTGTAGCGCACTGAGCCAATGCGGAATATTCGTTCTCCTAAAGTATAATATATAAGTGAAACATATCATTGAAGCATTCTTTTCAAAACCATATGTCATGCACACTAGATAAAGTACTACTACACTACTTTGTCATGTAACCAGGTTTGCTAATTCACCTACCTCGCCTAACTTCTGTACCATTAAGAACCTTATGGCAAGAGGGACCTTTTTTTCCTTTCCCGGAAACTTTGCCATTTTGTTCTCTTTTCTTTCTGTCTGCTGCAGCAACTGCTAACGTAGCTTCCTATTGAACAGAAGCATAACAAAAAATGCTACTTTAATTCTGATTTCTGAATTCCATCAGTCCAGATTAAAAGTGCATACAAAAGAAGAGCTTCGCCCACCAGTACATGATGCTCCTTACCTCATTAGCTTTCCTTGAATTCTTTTCAATAGATTTTGACCATTTCAAACTAGAACCACCAACACTTAACACCTTCGATTTGCGAATAGAAAATCCATTAGTTGACCTGGTATAAACAGTATTTCTCTTTCTCAATAGCAGCATTTTCCGTCTGCAAAAGGAAAGTACTTCCTTATTTTCTTGGACAACAGATACATGATTAAAACAAGAAGCTACTTGAACAAGAAATATACCCGATCGTAGATAAAGAGCTATTGTATGAAGAAACTGAGCTTAACTTAAAGCTTCTTTTGTGTGCCATTCTTTTCCAGGGAAACAGTTGCGGGCGGAACTTCGGGTAACATAGTGAATTCCCATCATTATTTGTTACCCTTGCACCATTCAGAGTCCAGACCAGAGACAATTTGGAAGGTTTTTGGGTCTTTGATACAACTGCAAAAGGACTAGTCATTTAAGCTTCCCATGACCATGCCAAAACAATGCAATGAAACTTACTGAAATCGATCTCCAGACTCATCCATTTGACCAAGTTATTTAATACGTTGAGGTTGATGATCACAAAAAACATTTGAGATAGACCAAGGTAAAAATAACTAGCTACATTTAATAATCATAATGCTACAAATTACTTATAAAAGATTGCTCATAATAAATATAAATATGTACTTAGGACTTGACAAGTTGGCAGAGGCAACATAAGACCTTCACTATTGCAGCTAACTTCTTCACAATTCACATCATTTTGTTACTGAAGACAATATTCGGCGGGAGGGGGTTGTAGATGGGGAACTAAAATATAAAGTTTGATAAAAATGGACATAGGCAACTAGAATTGATGAAAGGATGGCAAATTAGGTGAAAGAAAATAATATTCAAAATTAGCATATAAATCTGGTTAGACAGTTTTCAGAAAACCATCTCTCATCATGATTGTTAGTGCATAAAGTTCCAACATAGCACCAATTCGGTATGATGCCATAGCATTGGAAAAGTGAAAACAACATAGAATTGCAAGTACTGCAGAAAATAGGAAAACATTACAGCCAACAGATCATACTTCCGAAGAGGAAAATAATGACAAAAGATATGTTTCAGAGCTCCTTGGATAAGATTAAGCAATTTAATTAATTAAAAAGCTAAGTGATGTCTACAAGAAAAAAACTCAATGTAGTATTTTTGGTACTCAATAAAATGCATATGAAAAATAAATAAACAAAATAATTGTTAGGTATGAATCTTCTGATTACCGAAGGCTAAAAAATGTGTACCTTTATTGGATCGTCTCTTACCAAAAGTTCTACTGGAAATAACCTTAGCAGCTATTTGTCTCACTGAGTTGGAAATGTCATCGGACGTAGTAACTGCCTGCTTTGTATGACTCTCAAGGGCAGTCCTAATTAGCTGGTTTTTTCTTTTCTTGTAATAACCATCGGAGGAAGCAGAAAAGGATTGGTTCTTATCAACATCAAGAATAGAGGTATGGTCACAATCTGAAGTTGCAACCAATTGATTTGATTTTGGCTTTACATATGTCACCCTCTTTTCATTTGAAGGAACCAAGCCACTTTCATTTTGCTCGGAGCAGTCTTCCAAATTGTTAACTGAACCATTTCTGTTTAGAGTTTCAGAAGTTTTCAGTCCATCCTCAAGGGATTTGAGCATATCATTAATTTCCATAGAACTTGGATGACTTGTAGTTTCATAGCAATCACTAGTAGAAGGCTCTGCTAATGGGGAAGATGTACAGTCCCCAGATAAGTTAGAAGCATGCTTTGGTACTTTGGTGACACTGGATAAGGGGAGTGTTTTGTGCCTCTCAAAAGTGGTATTTGCACCTGTTGTTCTCAAGTCAGCAGCATCAGCTCTATTGTTAGGTCCCGTACCCTTCTTCACTTCATCCACTATCCCAGGCTTAAGCCGGTAAACCAAAGAACTCAAAGAATTAGGACCCTGTGGAGGAGCAGGGGCTGAAATAGGTTTTCTAACAAGACTATTACCTTTACGAATGTAAGTTGGCATCTGGCTTTGCATAGCATTGGCACTTAAGGAAGGTTTGTCCCCCAATAGAGGATAGGCAGAAGAATTATCAGATCGGCGCCATGTCCGGGGCTTTGTGAGACTGGTCGACGATTTTGCATTCTTGGAAGCAGAAGAGACAAATGATGAACGAATAGGATAACTCTTGGGACCAACATGACTAAGCTGGGTTTCCTCCCCTGTGTTTCACTACCAAGGAGATTGAGGGAAGTAGTATTCTCGGGTTCACGTGATGGCAAAAACCCTGCCTTCCCAGCACTTGATTGATTGGTTAGAATCACATCATTTGACTTCACAATAGCTTTGCTAAGCTGTGAATCTGACAAATGGGTAGATGAGTTGCATGCGCCTTCAATCACAGGCTTATCATCTGAAAGTGTTACAATGTCACAAGTCTTCTCTTCTGATTTTTGGAAGAGATGCTCTTTGCAAGTAGATGTGTCTAGAACTAGGTTGCCAAGAGAACCCGCATCACACAGTATATCAGGTGCTGCCATTGCTTCATCATTGGAGTTGGTTGCAGAAACTTCATTAACATCAACTCCAGAAATCAGAGAGTTTAAGGTAGAAGGTAAATCATCCTTCAGAGGAAGATGATTATCATCATCCACATCCATGCTAGGCACCACTTTATCCAAGCTGAGAGTGTTATGTTCTGGAATAATTCTGCATTGACTTACCTCGCTAGAAATGATATTTTGCTCTTCTGCAGTATCAACAAGCACTTCACCTCTGTCACTGCCTTCAATATCCATAGCATCAATTTGATGGTTACTTAAAGCACAAACTGGTGTTCCAATCGAAAACTGCTCACCTCCCATATTCAAAGTATGAAGGTATGGGGAGCTAGGAGCAGTTGACTCAACAAAAGCTGAACAAGTATCGATCCTTGGGAGATCTCCTGTGGTAAAGATTTTTCTCTTTTTCTCAGGAGCATATCCATCTACACTACCACCGATCTCTGGAAAGGTATTATTTGAACTGCTCCGCAGCAAAATACTATCTTTATCCCTAGAATGCTTTAAACCAACAACAGGCCACCCAATAACACTAACCATAGGTTCAGCGGGATTGAAATCTATCTCAGATGTACATATTGTACTGTCGACACAGTTTGCAGAGGTAAGAACATCTGGAGATCCTGTAGATATGTTCGTAAGTTCTGAGCTTGACAAATCTAGTTCACCAATCCCAGCTTTTCGCTTCTGGATGTTAGCTTCACCTTTACCACTGCATTCCACTGATTCCACAGCATTTGGGATTCCTGAGCCAGAAAACTCAAGTGATTGGACAGAATCATGGCCCATCTCATGGTAAATCCCCTCTGAATTAACACAACCAATATCAGGAGCGTCATTTGTACTCCTCTCATGATTGGAGCAGTCTCCATAGATGGAACCACTGCTAATTTGGGTTTCCTCTACACATGGAAGATGGGGTACCTTGTCACTTCCTACAAAACAATTAGCCTTTGGCAATTCCCCATTAGCACCATTCTCGACTGATGGGCTGGACAGAGATGTGAAAACCTGCTTGCTACCAGAACTGGCATTGCCAATATCACAAGTAATATTTTATCCTCGGTGCTAGATGAACCACAGTCGAAACCTGTACCCTCATGACCTTTGGTGTCCTCTGATCTTGACAAACCACAGTTAATCTTACTTTCATTATGGCAAAACTGATTCTTAAGATCTTCAACACCAATAGTGCCAGATTTAATAGTCTCATTTGGTTTTTCAGTATGAACCTCCTTGATATTTGAAATGATATGCAGGCCAAGGAAAGAATTACCAGCATTATTAGAACCCTGAGCAACAATAGTCTCTTCATTAATTGAAGAACAGAAACCATGAGTGGAGCTGTTTCTCTTTCTCTTATTCTTAGGAGAAACAGAACTACCAGGATCAGCATCAGTGCAAAAACCCTTTGAGACAGTGCCTTTTGATGCTCCATTCACTTTCTCATTCTCAAGAATCAGAGCTGATTCTTCAGGAGAACACCCTGAATCAACACCATGTACTGGCTCTCCAGAAGCAGAAACATCTTTCATTGTAAGAGGTGTAACACTTTTCTCAGCCACAGAGTTAGCAGATAGATATCGAGTAGAGATATCTGTCTTAACAAATTGATCACGCTTCTTTGCTGCTTCTGAATTTCCCAAATTCAAGGGAGAATTGACAACCTTTTTCACCACTTTCCTCACAATTATTTTCTTCTTGTTAGCCTTGAGGGAGGATGATTTACCAACACTAGCACCGGTTTTATCTGAAACAGTTCTCTTAACAGTTCCTTTAACTTTATTCTGTTCAACTGCAATATTGACCCCACTAGAACGAGATTGAACACTGCCATCCTGCATATTACCAATACAAGGAATTGTACCTTTCCTCTCTAATGGTCCTTGTTTCTTGTCAGAATTGGGAGCATCTTCAGTCACGTCAACCTTAGAAGACAATTTGACCTTACCCTTTCTAAGGGGAACTTTGGTTCCTTTTAAGAAAGGCTTTCTAATGCCATCCTGAGCTTTACTAGTATCGGAAGATATAATTTTTCCCTCAGGCTGCTTAGTGTCCATACACCCAGAAACACCCTTGACAGCAGAACTGGAACCCCCTGATTTCTCACCACTATCGCTACCCTTATTGAGTTGGGAACTCGAACCACCCTTATCAAATGTCATAACTTTCCTAATTTTGGTGTTCCTAGGCATCAAATTTGAATCAGATTTCGGTGCAGGACTAGAAGTCACAATTGCCTTAGCCACCAAGGAATTTGATTTGAAAGATACATCAAGCTCTACAGGGGTACCTTCTCTCTTTTCTTCATCCATCTCATGATCCGAATGTATGACCGAATCTTTTCCTCTTAAAGTACCGATTTTTCCCTCGTTATGATAACCAGAGTAATGTGATCTCTCATCTTCCCTAATCCTATGACTTGGTTTAGCCTTCTGAATCCTAAGTAAAGCACTCTTTTTCTGAATTTGCTTCCGTGGAGTACGATTTAATTCATGGTTACCCTCTCTACCACTTCCCTTATCACTATACCTCTCTGCTTCTGAATCATAATAATCAGTTTTTCTCGGAAAAACCCTCATCTCATCTCTTTCATTTATCTCATTATTTCCACTCTCAATCAACTGTTCACGTAAACGAGAAACCCGTCTCATATTTTCAACAACTTCATGATCAAATCTTAAGTTATTCGAATTGGAATCAAATCCAACCGAAACAACCCCAAATTCCCTAGAAGATCTATCAGATATCCACCGATCATTATGAACCCTACCAGGGTGTTCTCTTTCTCTCTGATTCGGATCGAAATCTCTAAACCTAGACGTCCCCTCTAAATCAAGCATGAACCTAACAATCCCCGGAGAAGCGGGTCTCCGGTCAAACTGATGATAATGGGCCTCCCGATCCAGACTGGAAACGGGATGGGTCCTTGAAACCCGATTTTCAGACCAGTAATCAGGGCGGGTATCGAAATCCGGCGCACGCCGTTGAGGAACATCGTGGAATTGGCGTGAAACATGGGTAGGTTTAGGGTTAGAATTGAAATTGGTGTTGGAACTGTATTGGGGATGATGAGGATTGTAAGGCGGATGATCAGAATACTGTTGTCGCTGCAGAAGAGGTTGTGGGGCAAGGAGAGGTTGGTAGGGTTGCTGTTGATTTTGTTGCGGTGGAGGAGGAGGAGGAGGCCGGAGTTGCGGCGAAAGCTGGTGGCGGGAGGGGTAGGGATTGCTAGGGCTTTGTTGATAGGGAGGTGGGGGTTGAGTGGGATGCTGAAGAGGGTGAATAGGAGGAGATAAAGGAACGTACCTCGGGTGGTTGGCGTGGTGGTGCTTGTGGTGGTGGTAGAGATAGGAGGATGGATCCATTGTCGGCTGGATTGGACTTTTGCGTTCGATAATTCTGACTTGCCTACCAAGTATTTCAGTGTTTTTTTTCTTTGTGGCAGAAAATTTTTCCTCACTCTTTTTTTCCATTCTTTCATATGTTTATTATATAAGCAGCCATGTGATGTGGTATAAAAGTATTTTAGATGTTAAAGTAATGTTAAATAAATAATATTTTAAGAAATTGTACGTTAAAAGTTAATTTTTAATTTAAAAGTTAAAACTGGAATTTTTAGATTTTATGTTTAGAAAAATATTTTTAGTAGTTAAACTATAGTTTTAATATATTTTATTGCATGATGTAAAATCTTCATATAATATGTATAATTATTAAAATTTTATTTATTAATAATAATATTATTATATTTTTATCATAATTTAAGTTGATATATATATATATTGTTTCAAAAAAAAAGTTGATATATATATATATATATATTTGTAATATTAAAGAATTTGAATATCATTTAAATGTATATTTTTAACTTGTAATATTATATCTACAATAATCATTTATTTTTTAAAAATAATCATAATACTAAAATGAAAAACCATCTTTCTTCTTATCTCTCTTCCTTTTTTTTCTTATTTATAACTTTATCAATGTTGTTTAATAGGTGGCTGAATCAGTTTTGATGTTAATTATCATCTGTTGGTTATATTTTTTTTTTAAATTTTTTAATAAGTATAATTATGTCTTCATGACATGTTCTCTCTATTTATGGTATGCTTATCTCTACCTTTATGGCACGTTTCTCTCTACCTTTCGGTAGCTTACGATTTTTTGTCATTATTTTCATTAATCTTTTTTCTCAGGGTTTGATTTGACATCATCATGAGTGATCAAGATAACACTTATTTGTTATCATGATTATCTTTCTTGCTTTAGACTCTCGGATTTATTTGGATACGCGTTTTGCATCGCATTTAGTTTTCTCAAATCGCTCGACTCTGATTTGTGATTTGTCGGAAGTCTTTCAGTAGCTCTATCCCCTTTTGTGGTTCATTTATCGATGCAGTCAGATTTGTTCATATCTTTATTTTGTTCGAGCTTTTTTGTTATGTTTTTTAACATTTTCCTTCTTTGATCCTTATATGATCTACTTTACTAGTTTTTGTCTCAATGATAATAGGAAAATGACATAATTATATTTTATGTTTATGGTTATGCTTGTAAATCTTCATTGTAATTTTGGATATTTTATATTTTTAATAAAACTAACGACTTTCTATCAAAAACAAATCATAATACTAAACACATACATTTAAAATCAGATAATCCAAAGATACTTCTTAAAAATAATTCTCTACACCACCTTTCGAAAATAAGGTTAAACATGTCCTTAAACAACATTCTAAGTAAGAGTGAGCAAAACTCAACACGACTCGAAAATTAATTTTATTTTTAGTTTCGAGTTATTCGAGTTGAATTATTTGAGTTATTCGAGTCAACTCGAATTATAAATTCGGTTTTGAAGTCGAGTCGAGCTGAAATTTTGAGTTACTCGAAAAATCGAAATTTTGACTAAGTATTTTGATAGTTTTACGATTTAGTCATGATTTCATTATTCATTCAATTTCTCATTCATTTTAAGCCCAATTTTCATTAAATTTGAACCACATGCTCCTAAACCATCGTATAATACATATGTACGTTCAATTCCTCTTTTTGATAACAAATTTTTTATTTTTTAACTTAGTCCCCCAATTTTTTATAATTTCCTTATTTCTTCCATTCATGCTTAATTTTAAGTTCGTTTTTACCAAATTTGAATCACATGCTCATATTCCATAATAGAATACCTATGTAACTTCAATTCTTACTTTTTCACTAAAAATATACTCGCTTTTTATTTAGTACATTAACTTTGCATTTTACTCAATTTGGTCTTTTGACCACAATTGTTTGCAAATTCTTTCTTCTCATCAATTCATCGACTCTTTTATACTCTCATCAATATTTCACTCTTAAAATACTTTCTTTAAAATATAATATTATGAATATATTTTACAATCTTAGATTGTATTTGATATATTAAATAACGTTATAATGTGAAAATAATATAAAATATATAGAAACTCAAATAATTCGACTCAAAAAAATTTCAAGTTAAGTTCGACTTATAAAATACGACTTGTCAACTCGAAATTTTTTGACTCCACTCTATCGAACACCCACTCCTAAATCCAAGTAAAACTTCCTCTTACCATATAATTGACATGGTCTAAAGATCGTTAGATGAAAAATTCTTCAATGACCAACACTCTCGTTGTTTCATTAAGATTGTAATTTATTAATTTCTAATAGTTAGTTTTTTCAAAAAAAAATACTTGATATAAATAACTAAATTTTATAAGAATCTATATTTAAAATATGTTTTTCAAAATTTTATTAATAATAAAATTTAAATGAAAAATCAATTTTTAAAAACTACCATTAAAAAAATAACAAGTTATAATTTTAATGGGACAGACGAATTGACTCTAAATGTGACCAAGAATTGATTTGTATAACGGATGTCATCAAGTCTTTTGACGATGACAATACAAATTGAGGACCATACCAATAAGGCCCAACATAAATCCCTTTTACCAATGAAACACCCAAACCAAAATCTTCGACACCGATATGCATCCGTGGCCCAAAACAGATTTTCATTAATCATAGACTGTCTTAAATTTACATACTTTGAGTTTAATTTAGATTCAGATCGAACCGGAGAAAATATTAAAATATTTTGCCCGAGTTTAGGTCAAGATGATTGTTTATCATTTAATGTTGGAAAATTTATTTTATTTTCAAAAACTTGTATTTGAAACCAACTAAGTTAAGTCATAAGTTTGTCTTTACTTTGGATTAAAGTTCAAGATTTTAACATCTTTAGTGGGAAACCTAATTTGAAACAAAGTGGTAATTAATTAACATTTACTTGGAAGAAAAAAAAATACTAAAACTTACCATAGAAGTGTCGCTGGTATTCGAAAAGGAGAAGACAATTAAAACGGGTGGGTACGAAAAAGGATGCTTAAAGATGTAAGACGAGATAGTTATCATATTTGCTTAAGGTTCGGAAGTTTAACACACAAGTTTAAGATTGGTTTGAGACATAAGCAAGCCTTAACACTAATAGTGGGGTTTAGTTGGAAGCTTGAACAAGAAGTTTTTAAATTAATCAAAATCCAGAAACGGGGTTTTGGCGAAGGGAGACAGATTTTGGTGCCAAAGCAATTTAAAGTTTGAACTCAAAGCAATGATTGTTATCTGGACAGAGTTTCAAATCTTGAAATGAGAGAAATATTTTTGTATTGGACCACTTTGCCTGGCCTTCATTTGCTCATACTCCTCTTTTGTTTTTTGTTTTTAGAAAAGAAAAGAAGCTGGATTTCACTCCACATTCTTAGAAAATGTGAAAAATCTCGTAATATTAAACATATCAATCATTTGACATTAAACCCTCGTACTGCTGGTATTTACTGAGTACAAATCCGAGATCTCAATGAATAACAACAAGTACGTTAATCATTGAAGTCGTTTGCTTCGTGCTTTAGAATTATATTTGAAAAATAAAATTTTCGTGAACAATCATTACATGACATATTATTATAATTTTACATTAATTTTGTTTGATTCATTTGACGATAATATTTATGATACTTTGTTGGAGAATATAGTATTATTTTAAATTAAATTTCATTAGTTTATTTTTACATATTTTATTTTCAGTAAGTTAAATTTTTAATATTAAATTATAATCTTTTGTATTAAAATTTATCAAATTATTTTCCTTGTAGTATCTAAATTTTATAAAAAAATTATATTTAACATATTACTAATACAATAGATGTATTAAACAATGTTTTTGAAAAATAAATTTATATAAGTAAATATCGTATATTCATTTTTATCGTGGTATATAATAGGATATTAAGTTAATTTTTAGTGATTAAAAATATAATCAAAATTATTATAAAAATATTTTAGAATTGTAAACTTATCCTTAGATGATGATCAGGCTTTTCAACAAGTACAAATGATAATGTTGTTTTCCCAACACTTAAATAATTCGTAAGACAATCTTAAAATTTTAAGTCTTAATATATTTATTATCGAATCAAATTCGAGCTAAATTTAAACAATTTTAAATTTTAAAATCACAATATCACAAAATAATATTAAACTGCCATTAAATATATTAAACATGTAAACTATACATACAAGAACATTCGAGCTAAATCTACTTTGGACATGTCTATTTCATATAAATATTTTTTAAGTCATTTAAACATTATATACATAATTTAAAACCTTCATCGCATAAAACAAAAGTTTGACCAATATATTAAATGGTCGATGAAAAACATATCAGATTCGGACCATATCTTTTAACACAGAATTTTCTTTAATTTAATACAATCATATCTCGATTAGAGGTTGGTCGAAAACATAAAGAAGGTAAAAACCATCGTGTTTCCAAAAAGCTGAGGGCAAAGCATAGCAGCCTCTGAACTCTGAAGATTTACTTGTGAATGGAAGTTGCAATATATAAAATCCTTAAAAGAAGTGGTAGCAGAATCATATAATAATATGAATACATATAGCATTAATGGTGTCGACCACCCATACACGCATTGACTTTAAGTTTTTGTCCGATGCGGTAGATGAAAAATTTAAGGAGTAGAAAAATAAGAAAATGATAAACTAAAATTGTAATTTTTTTTTCTCTTTTCATTATTTTATTCAACCAAGCAAAATCTAAGAGAAGTAAACGAACAAAATGGAAACCCATGCAACGTTGGAATAAAATGTGAAGAAGCAATAGAAGTGTGTGTCCGTACCTTCGTCGAAAATCTGTTATGGGGAATTACGACACTTCGAACTTTGAAATTCACATTTATTACCTCCACGTGAATTGCTTCTCACCTCCATTTCAGTATTACTAAATCCAATATAAATATTAAAATATTCAAGCTTCACTTAAAATTTAATTCCACCTCAATCGGATTTTATTATTAAGATTTAGTTTAATTTAAGAAAAAAAGTTGGATCCATCGAACTTGGTTTTTAATCCAGTGTGTTTA